TGCGCTCGCGCGGCTGGATTGACACGGTGCAACGTCTTAGTGCATCAAACGAAATATTATTAATGCCGGTCACCCGAACCGTGTCAACAGGTTCACTTTGTATGCCTAACTTATTCCTCAGCGCCTCTGTAATAAAACAAGACTGCGAACCACAGTCTAATAGACAGCGGGCTTCGTAAGTTTTGTTTGTGTTTAAGTTTTTTATTGAAATTATTGCAGTTGATAGTAATACCTGATTTTCAACGCTGGCTGATAACGATATAGGCGTAGACACAGACTCCTTGCTTTCTACAATTTTCTGAGGGCTGGATGTCATTGTATTATGCAGCAGAGTATTGTGTTTACGTCTACATATAGCACATGGACTCGCTTTACATTGGTGGGAATAATGCCCACCTCGGAAACAGTTCATACAAATTTTTAATTTTCTTATTAAAGTGTTTCTTTCGTCCACTGACATTTGGTTAAATTTTTCACAATTATATAAGAAATGATCCCCACTACATATGCGGCAAACTCGTGCATTACTTACGTTTAAGTGGCTCGACGTGTTGGACTCGCTTGCCGTCGCGACAAATGCCTTTTGAACCTTATCCATTCGTTTATACGCGACTTGCTTGTCAGGCTTGTCGCTAGTGCTAGTGCTTGCACTTATCATTTCCAAAACGTCGGCCCTTTGTCGCAAAAACTCATAAAAGTTTTCTAAAGTGGGATTCTCGGTTAAACTATTCCTATACTCCTCCCATTTCGTACTGGTTGCAGTATCTAATTTTTTCGCGAACATAAATATAATGAGCGTGTCCCAGTTATCAACCTTTTCACCTAAACTACTTAAAGCCCTCAAATGTTTCGACACATGGTCAATTAAGAAACGCAATGATTTATCAGACTCCCTTCCAATAAAAGACATATCAAACAATGACTTAAGGTGAGTATGAATCAGCTGACGTTTGTTATCGAATCTACCGCTAACGAGTTTCCAGGCCGCTTCGTAATTTGCCGCCGATATTTCCAATGATTCAATAACAGACGCTGCGCTTCCTAATAAGGATGCTTTTAAATATTGATACTTGCAAATATCACTGAGATTGTCATTATTGTGCACAATTGACAGGTACACATCGCGAAATTCTAACCATTTGTTTGTACTGCCATCAAATGTAGGCTTGATGGTCGGAAGCCTAACGCCGGCGTCAACCCCACTGTGGGACAAGCGCGCGTCCATCCCACCATCAAATCCCGTGGCCTCTGAGGAGCGAGGCTCATTAGCTGCGATCAACTCCTGAGCACTACTCATCGCGATAAAAACAATTTTTCCGTATTTTCCCGCTCGCTAAATTCCACTTGCTCCTCGGCGGGTTTGCCTGACTTCGCCTCATTAACCTCAATTTGAGTTTGAATTTTATCATAGTCTTCAAACAATGTGTCCGCTTTCCGTAATCGTAATTTTAACTCATTTAAATTTCCCTGCCTATGCCTTTTAAACTCCTCCAAATAATTCCTAAATGTAGTTAATCGCCCCTTAATAGATGCCCTCTTCGCTTTGAACTCTGTGTCAGTCATTATGCAAACAAACAAGATTAGTAGGTAAAATAGATTGCAATAAATACCTCAATACGTAGGCTTGCCTTTTTTATGTGAAACAGCTGTGCGCCGAGACCGGGGATACCGCAGAACAATAGACGCTTGGCGCAGGCGACGTGGATCGGCACATACGCAGCGGACGGCACACTGGAATATTCGGCCGGACAACTCTTAATTACCTTATAAAAACTAACTATTTGCCTACTTGTATCGTACTGATGCGATAAGAGAAGCGACAGATAAGAAGGATCGAGCGAAATAATAAAAGAATGCAATTATGCGATCGATGCGCTCAGAAAAAGTAGGTAGCTAGCTAACGGTGATTACGTAAACGGCTGATGCAATCTTTAACTCTTATCTTTAAGCAGGTAACTTTTAAGATTTAGCACCAGAAAACCTAAAATAGTTCATAAATTAAACCCATAAATGCGTTGAATATTTATTTTAACTTTGTAGGATAATTTATGCGAGTGAGAATTAAAGTTAACGGTAAACTGCTTGGTATGAACGATTTAGCTGGGCAGCTGATTTTAATTTGCTTATAGATTTGAACTAATTAGAAAAATATGAGATCTGCTCACACAAACGAAGCTTTACAGGGCTAGCACAGTTAAACTAGGAAAATAAGGAACGGGCAAACCTCCCTTTTGTTTTAAAATCCTCTTGCGGCACAATAATTAACACTTGTCGTGGCTCAAATAACACTGGCTGGTAGGTATCTTCTTAATAGTCCAGTTCTTGTTTCTAACAGCAGTGCAGTGCGCATTCCTTTTTTCTCCTCAGTATGCAGGTTTGTACTACGTGTCCACGTAGCAACAGAAGTTCACGGTCGCCATTTTGTTGGGTGTACTCCTCAGGTAAGCTCTCTCCAGACCAGGATCGCAGGATCGTCAATGAAGAAGACCAGGATAGTACTAATAACTCGATTTAATAACTATATTTACAATGTCGTATATGACAAATAAAGATATAAGAAACGTGTGTTGCCGCTACGGTTGTACGGTGCAGTCCACAGAGTACTTTTATATATACTGGTGCAGTCTGAGGCCCGAACGGGGCGGCGGCATCGCGTGCGACGCATGCACTCGCGACGTCACCGTGGGCCCGGCACGACAAAAGGTTTGTTGGTTGCGCCAACACACATGGTATGAGAAACAGGTTCCACAAGGTTCGTCAGGACTGTATTTTGATACACAACTGCATTCGTTTTTACACCTTTCTCACAAAAATGTACCTCTGTTAAGCCCCAATAAGAAACTCCCAACCATACCATGAGCGAGGATGGAAAATGACCTAGTTGGACACGCGGAATACAGTTGCTCACTTCTTCACTACTGTGTGCGTACACCTTATCATTTTGTTTGTTGTAGCTCTTCTATGGTAAAAATTTTTTCATCCGAAAAAAGAATTTCCCGATATTTTTTTCCCGCGTACCGCTTCAACAAAGCGCGGCATCTCTTCATTCTCAGGTCCATTAGACGAGCATTCAAACGATGTCCTGTTTTTCTTTTAAAAAAATAAAAGTAAGTAAAATAAAAAAGAAATATGATCCGCAAAAATTGTTTTACTCAATGTTGACATAGTATTTGTGTAAATATAAAATAAAACATTATTGAATATCTTGAAAATAAATCAGGAGGTCAATTGATATAAATAGTAATAGTGTGAGAGGGCTTGACCGCATCCAGCACAAAGCGGTTCGAATCGTAAACGACCGAGTTCTTTCTGATCGGCTAGATACACTGGCACTGCGTAGGGATGTTGCATGCCTTTGCATTTTCTATCGAACCTACCACGGGGAGTGTTCTGAGGAATTGTTTTTATTAATTCCAGCCGCTAAATTTCACGAACGCACATCGCGTCAAAATGCACGATACCATCCTCACAATCTGGATGCTTGGCGGTCCACGACTGTGCGTTTTACTAGGAGTTTTCTGCCTCGTACAACTTTTCTGTGAAAGTGGTTACCACCGGAAATTTTTCCGGATCGATAGGACTTAAAGACCTTCAAGAAAAGAGCTTACACCTTTCTAAAAGGCCGGCAACGCATCTGCAAGTCCCCTGGAGTTGCGGTTGTTTATGGGTGGCGGTAGTCACTTACCATCAGGTGAGCCGCATGCTTGTTTGCCCCTTCTTCTATAAAAAAAGGAAATTAGCGTTTAGAATTAACGGCAAAATTTGTACCAAAATTATTTTCAATATTGAGATATATTTAGGGTTCCGTACCTCAAAAGGAAAAAACGGAACCCTTATAGGATCACTTTGTTGTCCGACTGTCAGTCTGTCAAGACCCTTTTTCTCAGGAACGCGTAGAGATATCAAGCTGAAATTATACTATAATACTCAAGTCTACTGTCCCTTGGAGCTGTAAAAAAATCAATCTTTTAAGCCAACGCAATCAAAAGATACAGCCGTTTATGCCGCAAATTTTCGACATTCGCAAGGGAATAAAAATCTACAGGGTACTTCCCGTGAACTCAGAATCTTGAAATTTGGTACGAAGCAACGTTTTATAGCACAGATAAAGGAAATATTTCGAAAAGCATATTGTTGCGTTATAACGTAAATCGAAACGCAACAATGACAAATAGCCCGGCCCAATCAAAAAATACGAATTAAATATAACGGTTCGAGACTTCTTCAAGACAAGAGAGCATAGTTTTAACTTAACACAGTAGCTCACCTTTTATGTACATTTGTAATTATCTTTAAATATAGAAATCCTGTTTTTATCCTGTTGTTCTTGAATTATACGCAATTAATACAATTAAGAAAGAAATTCGACTACATCAATTTCTTATATACATCACCCAAGAGCTCCTGCCGCATCCAGGATCAGAATCTTGGGCAAACAAATGGTCCTTCGATCCTCTACAAGACAACCAGCCAATTAAAATTTAAGAATTCAGAGCAATTCAGGTCTTCAGATCTCAGGCGCAAAATTAGGAAGTCGTCGTCTACGAGCCTTCCATACTCAGCAGCGATTCCTATTTTTCCAAGCAGACTTTATTCAAGACCGCACTCAATTCGAAGCCCGAAACCGTTAGAAGAGCATTAATATCAACTGAGTGAGTCCGTTCCAATAAGTATATCCTTTCCACGTTTCTGTAATTCCCACTTCCTATAATTTAAACAGCTTTAAAAGTGTCAGGCAACTTGATATCATTGTTACATTTAAATAACAGCATTTCTTAATAATCTAATTCACTTAATAATTCAAACTGTTCATTTGTACGATACGTGATAATCATAATATACCGCGTTGAAATCATTTCTTTTTTGTTTATTTAACTAAACGCATTAACTTTGCATCGTTTAAAATAGCTGTGAGTTGTGACTAGTGACATAGTTTTATTCAAGTAGCTCCGCTTGTCCTTCGTTCGGCCGGCAAGGTCAACATTGCATCTGTAGTAATTAGTGAGTAACGCACTTCACTGCATAACAGTTAAATCTTATAACCCTATTAGAATTACGTTGTTTCTAGTGAATTACTGTTCATTTCCTGAATTCTTCGTTTGTAAACTTAGTCTAGTAATCATGGCGGATGCAAAACTAAAAGAGCTAGTGAAAAAACGTGCTACTTTTAAAGCTAAGTTGACTCAATTTGTCAACGTATTGAATATATACAAAAGCTGTGCGATATTAAGTGAGTTGCAAATATCTAAATTGGAGTGTCGTTTAAGTCGAATTGATGCGTTATATAGTGATTACGATGCGTTACAGGCCAACATCGAGCTACAGTCAGACCAACAGGAGGATCAGTTTGCCGAGCGTGAGCAATTTGAGACACAATATTATGGCGCCGTGTCGCTGGCACGTACCTTGCTCGCCCCTACGCTGCAGCCAACTTCGGAACCCGGTGAAAGGTCCGTGATAAGTCAGGGTTCCACTAATTGCAGACACGACTTTGTGCGGTTGCCCAAAATCGACCTGCCGTACTTTGACGGCGACTATCAGCGCTGGCTTGCATTTCGAGATACTTATCTTTCACTTATACACAATAACAATAGCTTGAGTGACATAAACAAATTACATTATTTGCGCGCTGCTTTAAAAGGTAGTGCAGCTTTAATTGTGCACAGTTTAGAACTTAGATCTGATAACTATGCCAGTGCGTGGCAACTTCTATCAGACAGGTATGATAATCCACGACTGCTCGTAAACAACCACGTACAAGCCCTTTTTGAATTTGAGCCTTTACAAAAAGAATCTAGAGTGGGTTTAAGAAACATGATTGACGTCACCAACAAAAACTTGAGGGCGCTTGCTACTCTGGGTGAGCCCACCGACCATTGGGATACGCTTGTTATTTATATGATGTCTCGCAAGTTAGATAGTATATCGTGTCGCGAATGGGAGGAGTATCGTAATACTCTTACCGGTTCTCCAACATTACAACATTTTTTAAAATTTTTAAACAATAGAGCAGACTTACTTGAAACATTGTTTAATAATAACAAACATAATATACAAAAACACAAAACACCTGAACCTTCTAAGTCTAAGAGCTTCAATATCACTACAGATCACACAATCAGTAGAAATGCAATGAATGAGAGTAGCTGTCCCCTATGTAGTGATGAACATTATTTATACTTATGTCCCTCTTTTAGAAGCTTAAGCGTTGATTCACGCATAAAACAAGCTACAGCTGCTTATGTATGCCTGAACTGCTTGCGCCCAGGTCACTCCCAGAAAGGTTGCCGTTTATCTCATTGTAAGTATTGCAATATTAAGCACAATACCTTGCTACATAAGGAACCTGACACAGAAAATGTATCATCTTCTGCCTTTGAGAACAATGTTGCCCTTTCCACAGACCTTGTTTCAGCAAACATAAATATTAATCAAGGCCATATCTTGCTATCCACAGCACTAGTGAAGGTGAAGGATATTCATGGTCACCTACACACGGCTCGTTTGCTTCTTGACAATGGCAGCACTGCGAACTTTATAACGCAGAGCTTGTGTGGAAAGCTGAATCTGGTAAGGCGAGCAACGGACTCTACAGTCTCAGGTATTAATAACCAGTCTTCTAGTACGTCGGAGTCATGTGATCTTACTATCCAATCGTACTGCGGTAGCTTTACGACCAACATAAATTGTTATGTTTAACCACAGATCTCTCAGTCGGTACCATCATGTTATATATATAATATCCATATACCGAAAGGAATACATTTAGCAGATCCTTCCTACAACGTTCCTTCCGGAATCGACATCCTAGTAGGAGCAGAGGTCTTCTGGGATATTTTACGGTCCACCCATATTAGTTTAGGAAAAAACCAGCCAAGGCTACATGAATCAAAGCTTGGTTGGATCATATCTGGCTGTATTCCTCAGTCTACTCAGGCAACATCTTCTATCTGTCATTTTACTCATACTCAAACAGATGACTCTCTTCTTACTCGCTTCTGGGAACTGGATTCCGTACCTGCGAAGTATCACATGTCTTCCGAAGAGCGACTATGCGAGCAGAGCTTTGAGGAAAATACAAGAAGGTGCAAAAACGGTCAGTTTATTGTAAAAATACCATTGAGAGATTCACCGACTGTGCTTGGAGACTCATACACTATGGCAAAAAACCGTTTTTTGTGCTTAGAGCGCAGACTTGAGAAAGATTTTCATTTTAAAGAACAATATTTAGAATTCATGAAAGAGTACATTGAGTTGGGTCATATGACTGAAAACAAAATAAAAACAATGCTTACTCAACCTTCTTATTTCTTACCTCATCATGGTATCGTACGTGAGTCAAGCACAACTACGAAATTACGCGTGGTCTTCGACGCTTCGGCTTTGAGCACCTCGGGTAAATCTTTCAACTCTATCCAAATGGTAGGCCCAACTGTACAAGATGATCTTATGTCCATCTAGCTTCGCTTTAGAGAGCATAAATATGTTGTTACAGCTGACATAGAGAAAATGTATCGTGCTGTCTTAGCCGAGCCTTCTCAATGCTCACTCCAGCAAATCTTCTTTAGGTTTGACCCCTCAGAACCACTAAAGACGTATACTCTTAATACAATTACATATGGAACCGCATCGGGGCCTTATTTAGCTACAAAATGCTTAACTTCCCTCGCTGATCAATCCCCAGATATCAATGTTCAAAATGCTATCAAGCATAATTTTTACGTTGATGATTTTTTGTACAGTGGCTCATCCATAGAATCCGTAATAAAGACTTGCAGAGGTGTCATTAAAACCTTAGAATCTGCGAAGTTTAATCTACGTAAATGGCAGTCAAATTTCGGAGAAATTTTGGAATCAATTACTTCCATTAAAGGTGACTCGGAGAAGACTCTAAATCTTGATCATTCATTGAGCAAAACTTTAGGTTTATATTGGCGTACTGAGTCAGACAATCTTTTTTACACAATCAATCTAAACAGCAACATAATAATAACTAAACGCAACATCTTATCCCTTATTAGCCAGGTGTTTGATCCATTGGGGTTAGTAGGGCCTTGCATATTACTTGTTAAAATATTGCTTCAACAATTATGGGTTACTAAAAGTAACTGGGACGAAGAAGTTGGTACGGACATATAAGAACAGTTTAAAGATGCCATACAATCAATTTCTTCCTTAAACTCCCTTGAAATACCTCGTAGGATATGCCATGTTACAACCCCTACTAAAATGGAAGTCCACATATTCACAGATGCTTCCGAGATCGCATATGGAGCGTGCGTCTACATCAGATCAATCAGACAAGATGGTTCTATGTGCGTTCGCCTTTTGACATCAAAGAATAAGGTGGCCCCTCTCAAACCAACCACAGTACCACGTTTGGAGCTTTGTGGTGCTTTGTTAGGTACGAGACTTTTTAAAAAAGTACTGGAATCACTTACAATACCTATCCATTGTTGCCATTTCTGGTCAGATTCGACAATAGTCCTGGGATGGCTATCGACTTCTCCGAGTCTACTAAAGCATTTTGTTCGGAATAGGATATGTGAGATACAAGATAGTACAACTGGTTATAAATGGAACTACGTACCGTCCAAAGATAATCCAGCGGACCTAGTTTCGCGCGGGATAACAGCTGATGTCCTCAGAATTTCCTCTTTGTGGTGGTCCGGACCCGATTTTCTACAATATGACCCAATCAATTTTCCAAAAATTCCTTCCATTCAAACAAATCAACTTCCAGAAATATCCTTACATACAAATATAAATACGCAAACAGACAATGTCATTTCTAACATAATCAACAAATCATCCAATTTTACGAAATCAATTAGAATCATAGCTTATATACAAAGGTTCATTAACAATTGTAGAAGAAGTAATATTCATAACACCAATTATTTTTCATGTTCAAAATTAAATTCTTCGAAATCAATACTAATACGTATAGCTCAAATGGAAATGTTTCCTAAAGAATATGCTATTCTGAAGTCAGGTAATTCCCTACCTAAGAAAAACAGACTATTATCCCTCTCCCCTTTCATGGATAATAGCAGTATTATACGTGTGGGAGGTCGTCTTAGCAATTCGTACTACACGTATGATATTAAGCACCCTATTATAATATGTAGCAAGCATCATTTAACCAAAATCATATTTGAAATGAAACACAAATGTTTAATGCACGCGGGTCCTCAACTGCTGTTGGCCGACATTAGGCAAACTTACTGGCCTTTAGGCGTTAGAAATCTAGCGAAGGCTATTGTTCATGGTTGTATACGTTGTAGTAGATTCAAAGCAACTTTCGTGCAGCCTACTATGGGTGACTTACCTACCGATAGGACTCACTTAGAATTCCCGTTTTTGAGCACCGGAGTAGATTATTGCGGGCCTGTGCTGATAGTCAATCGTAAGGGTAGAGGCAGTACCTTAATGAAATCTTACATTTGTATTTTTATTTGTTTAGCAGTGAAGGCTGTTCACTTAGAACTCGTCACGGATCTCACGAAGGAGGCATATCTCGCAGACTTAAGTCGGTTTGTAGCTCGACGAGGAAAACCACAGCGCATTTATTCAGATAACGGCACCAACTTCGTGGGTGCCTGCAATGAACTCTCTTCCTTTCTTAGGCACACGTCAGATCACATAACTTCAGACACCGCAGAACAAGGTATAGAATTTAAATTTATCCCAGCCTACTCTCCTCATTTCGGCGGACTGTGGGAAGCTGCCGTAAAGTCCGTCAAACATCATTTGAGACGCATTATGAGCCTCACTCACTTCACATTTGAAGAGCTTTCAACTTGTCTGAAACAGATTGAAGCTGTCCTAAATTCCAGGCCTCTTATACCTTTATCATCCGATCCCACTGATCTAACATATTTAACTCCTTCCCATTTCCTTATTGGACGGACAACTACCTCAGTTCCGTATCAACAAATTGAAGACAGGCATATCCACTCACTAGCTAGATTTGCGCGAGTGGAAAAGCTAAAACAACATTTTTGGAAGCGTTTTGTTAATGATTATATTCATATCCTACAGCAAAAGAAGAAATGGCACATCTCTTGCGGGAACCTGACTATAGGACAAATGGTTATGGTGAAGGAAAACAATCTTCCCCCACTGTTATGGCTTCTGGGGCGCGTCACTAAACTCATTCCGGGAAAGGATGGTGTTGCGAGAGTAGCTGAAGTCAAGACCAAGAAAGGGCATCTTCTTCGGGCCTGTAATCGCCGTCGTCATACTACCAATTGAAGCGGATTAGACCACTTCAACGCCGGGGAGCATGTTGCGTTATAACGTAAATCGAAACGCAACAATGACAAATAGCCCGGCCCAATCAAAAAATACGAATTAAATATAACGGTTCGAGACTTCTTCAAGACAAGAGAGCATAGTTTTAACTTAACACAGTAGCTCACCTTTTATGTACATTTGTAATTATCTTTAAATATAGAAATCCTGTTTTTATCCTGTTGTTCTTGAATTATACGCAATTAATACAATTAAGAAAGAAATTCGACTACATCAATTTCTTATATACATCACCCAAGAGCTCCTGCCGCATCCAGGATCAGGATCTTGGGCCAACACATATAATAAAAATATTTTTAATAATTTAAACTTATATACCTACGGATTTGTTCGGAACCCTCGGTGCGCGAGTCCGACTTGCACTTGGCCGGTTTTTTAATTTCATAGCCATTAAATGACTTAAATATTTTTTATATTTTTAAGTAATTAAATTGTACAATTAACCAGTGCCAGACTCGACACTGAAGCTTTCGAATTTCCAATTAATGATAAAACCACTCTAGAAGCGAATCTATTTACAAAACCCCCCTTGAAAGATCCCGGCTAACTTAACCCCAGATTCAAGGATACTTAGACACCAAATGTGTTCCCTCAATTTGCACGTTAGAGCTTCGAGTGTACTTATAAGTTCTTTCATGAACCCTTCATACTCGAGTAAAAGCAAAGGAGCATCTTTTATGTCCAAAGAAGTGAAAGTTCGTGTTGCATATCAAATTGAGTCTGGAATATGTAATTACTTCTCGAAGGTAAAAACGCTAAAGCGTTATCGACAAGTAATCATCTTTCTACGTGTACATTTCCAAGTATCAATATAGCAAAAAGAAACGAATATTTAATTAATATATTTTGAGGTATGTGTTTACGATACTTTCTACACAGTAAAGTGGTACAGTGGACTCAATCGGGATGCCCGGCTCCAAAAAAAGCCATGGCTGTAAAGTCGGCTGGAAAAGTGATGGCTTCCGTCTTTTGGGATCTTGATGATAGACTACCTTCCTAAAGGTCAAAACATTAATGGAGAATACTACGCTAATCTTCTAGATAAGCTTCATCAATGTATTCAACAAAAACGACCAGGTTTGGCGAAAAAAAAATCATCTTCCACCAAGACAACGCTAAGGTTCACACATGTGTTAAATCTATGGCAAAAATCAACGAATCGAAGTATGATTTGCTGCCCCACCCACCTCATTCGCCTGATCTAGCGCCATCAGGCTTCCACTTATTCCCTAAGCTCAAAATTTTTTTGGGCGTACAGAAATTTGCCACAAATGATGAAGTCACAGCCGCTGTAGAGGAGTATTTTGTAGGCCTCGAAAGAAATCATTTTATGGAAGGTATTACTGCTTTAGAACGAAGATGGAATAAGTGCGTAGAGGTTCACGGAGACTATATCGAAAAATAAAATTAATTTTATCACGAAAAGTTAAGTGTTTTCTTATAAGGCTAGTTACTTATCATCCCACCCTCGTAGCTCGAAGGATCGACAACCGATGGAGTAGAAATGTTCTCGAATGGCCCCCAATAGATGGAGCGACGACCTATTAAGACATGCAGGAAGTCGTATATTTTATATATATATAAAATTTATGCAGTGTGGGGACGGCGTAATAGAACTTATTTCGAATTAATATGGACTAGAGGAAACGCCATCCATCCATCCATCACAGCATAGGCTGGCTTAGCATAGGCTTTTATAGAAAAGTCCACTGCTGAACATATGTATCCCTCATAGCTTGCCTCGTTTTCAGGAAGATGCTACTGCCCACCTACAGTTTCATTTTTCCTCTGTCACCTTTCACGCCACCCTTGGGACGATATGGGGTAGTGGATATTCGTACACTGCTACTACACGGTTATAAACAAGGAAACACCAGTGTAATCTTATGACTTTCGATGGATGGCGGTTATACATATTGTTTACGGCAGACGTAAAATACTTAGACCCACAATGGTGACGCAGCTCACCGGAAAATGTACGGTTATGAATTTTCACTCATTATTTTAGCGTTTTGCGAATATTATGCCTTGTGATGACGTAGTAAAAAAATCTTTAATCTTATTTTGTCCTTTAAATGTCGTAAGAAACGTCGTTAGAAGTTGGTAATATGCCATCTATTTTTCGCTAAAAACTGAATACCCCGATAGGTCAAAGGTATCAGTGTCAAAGGTTCGAGTCGCTTGATACTGCGATATTCAATCAACCTGCCGCGCGCAATGATTAAGACAATTTTCAACAACGGGAAAGACCCGTGATGAGCAGTGGACTTTTGCGAACTGATGATGAAGAATAAGAAGATACAGAAATTTAAAATACTACCGTATCTATCATAAAACTTTTTAACAAAAAAATTAAACCGCCGAAAAAACTGAAAAGCAAAAAATAATAAACCTTTTTATTTAACCTTAATAACTAAGTTCTTAAACTAATTTAAGTATACCTAAGTATATATTTTTGTAATTATTTTGAGTTTTTAATTAACCTTAATAACTAAGTTCTAAAACTAATGTAAGTATACCTAAGTAATTTTGAGTCGGCGCCAAACAAGCAAATTAATTAATTATGTAAAGCGTGATGCGCGGCATTGTTAATTTGATTTGGTTATTTCTTTAAATGTAAGGTAATTTACTGGTCTTTGTTCATTGTTTGGCGCCGACTCAAAATTACTTAGGTATACTTACATTAGTTTTAGAACTTAGTTATTAAGGTTAATTAAAAACTTAAAATAATTACAAAAATATATACTTAGGTATACTTAAATTAGTTTAAGAACTTAGTTATTAAGGTTAAATAAAAAGGTTTATTATTTTTTGCTTTTCAGTTTTTTCGGCGGTTTAATTTTTTTGTTAAAAAGTTTTATTTTATAATTTTTCGTGGCTGTAATCTACTAATTACTACATGCTTAATTTTTGATTACTTTCAAATTAGTTACCTACCTTACTTTAGCTATTAACTGTTATATAATCCTACTTTAACTATTATTTGTTGTAGAATATAAATACTTTTAAACAAAAACAGGCTTTATATACCACCATGGGTTTGTAATAATGAGAAAAATAAGGTAATAATAGGTTGGAAATAGAATAAATAAATAAATAAAGTAGTTGCAAATAAAAAGAGAATTAGATTAACACGTTAACAGGAGAGTTTAGATCATCGCGAGGAAAGACTGTAAGCATAGGAAGCAGACTAAAAGATAGCGATGGTTGTGTGAAGTGGTAGCAACTTTTCAAGGTACGAAGGGTATTGGCGACATTGAGCGCAGGATGTTGCGGATAATTTTATGCTGAACGTCACGGTTTACAAATTACAAGGTACGACCCTTGATAAAGCTGTAATCGACCTCGGAAAGAAAGTGTTTGCCAAAGGCATATGTGGCACTGAGTAGAGTAAAAACACTTGAGGGTATTGCTTTATCTGATCTAGAGCCAAATAAGGTATTACACAAACCACACGATGAACGAGCTTTAGCAGAAATGCAGAGACTGAGAGGTCTACACACAAGAGACTAACAGGTCTAAAGCTCAATCATCGAGAGGTTTTTTGTAATGTAATGTAATGTAATTATTATGTAATGTAGTATGTATTACTCAGCATTAGAATATGTGAGTAAACAATAAATCACCCCTATTTTACCACCCTTAGGGTAGACGTTTTGTTTTCAAATTTATATGGGACCAATTTCGGGGTATACCCTATCTAATAAAAAAAGAGTTATCAAAATCGGTCCACTATGTAAAAAGTTATGCGTGGTCATACATAAAAAAAAATATACACGTCGACTTGGGAACCTCCGTTTTTTCGTCGGTTAAAAAGTAACGATGCTCGTCTGCCACAGACTATCGTTATTTTTACAGTTTCCTTTTACGTTATAAATTTGTAATGTTTCTAATTAAAATTCACTGCCAACAAGATATTTTGCAGAGCTGTTACTAGAGCAGACATTTATCTGATAGGCAAAGCAATAAACATGGCAAGTAAGTTTCGTTCGAGGTTTTGTGTTAAAGTTACATGCCATGCAATTTCTGTTAAAATTATACGAAGTTAAAATTAAATTAAGAATTTTTCTTTATTAGCCTTATTAATCCACACACTGGACTTGTTCAGATAAATTCCTAACACCAATTTATGCTATTGCACTCTATCTCTACGCCAATTGCTAACTGCCATACTTTGCAAGCCAATAATTACTGAATTATAATTTTCAGGCTTATATTTTATTTCAAAATTTACAAAATACGAGTTAAAACAGGTTTGGTCTCTAGAATCTGCAGAATGATAAAATTTTGATGTAAGTAATAAGTGCCATGTGAAAGATACAGGTTGAGGGAACTTCATAGAAATCATGAAATTTTTTGAGCTACCGTGAAACCTGACAACTTTGCCATTTTTGAAAAGACTTTGAAGTTTAACACAAAGTTTCCAACAAAAAATGTAATGTGAGGCTGAGCGTCAATGTTAAATGTGACATTATATTCTTCATAGATTTGTTATTTATTAATGAGTTAAACAAATACTAACATAAATTAATCAAAATACTCAAAAATAGAAAATGGCAAAGTTAACTTCACTTGGTGGCGACTTTGCCATCAGGGTTTATAATGAAAATAAGCGGATTTTACTTCAAGGTTAAAGGTAACTTTACCACATAATGTAATATACAACACCAAGAGTTATGATTTTCTTCTTTAATTGTGATGTAAATAGCATGTGGCAAAGTTGCCCTCACATTTTTCAATTTTTCATACAAACAAGAAAATATGTTTGTCCTTGCTAAAAAATTAAACTTCCTCCTTCGAGAGATCTGGATTCAACCCCACTTACAGCCTAAAAAATGGCTTAGATCTCATTTCCAAAATTAAAGATATTCGTATTCCTCCTAAATCCATATTGTTATCTTTAGACGTTGATAGTCTTTTCACAAATGTCCCATCTCCTGACTGTTTGCGTATACTCGCAGATCTCTTTGAAAAACGTCGTCTACATCCCGGGGAAATAAATGATCTTCTTAACTTAACCTCTCTCTGTATGAAACAAAATTATTTCCGGTTTAATAACCGTTTCTATCTACAAAAAGAAGGGTTAGCTATGGGGTCCCCTCTAAGTCCCCTTATGGCGGACATTTTCATGGATAATTTCGAAAAACAACATATA